TAGAGAGTAACATCAAGTTAGGTACACACAATCAAACCTTCAAACAACTAAGACAACTAAATGGCAGGAATCACCACATACCTATCAGTACTAACACTTAATGTTAATGGACTTAATTCACCCATCAAAAGACACGTTTGACAAAATGGATTAAAAAGAAGATCCAACAATTTGTTGCTTACAGGAGACTCATCTCACCGACAGAAATAAGCATATGCTTAGGATGAAAGGCTGGAAGAAGATTTACCAAGCCAATGGCCCCCGAAAACAAGCAGGAGTAGCAATACTTATCTCTGACAAAGTAGACTTCAAACCTACATTGATCAAACGAGATAAAGAAGGACATTCCATACTAATAAAAGGGGAAATAGACCAAAAGGAAATAATAATCATCAATCTGTACACCCAATGTCAACGCACCCAATTTCATCAAACATACCCTGAAAGACCTAAAAGCATATATAAACGCCAACACAGTGGTTGTGGGAGACTTTAACACTCCATTATCATCAATAGATAGGTCATCCAAACAAAAAATCAATAAAGAAATCCAAGATCTAAAATATGCAATAGATCAAAGTGGACCTAGTAGATGTCTACAGAACATTTCATCCAACCTCTACACAATATACATTCTTCTCAGCAGCCCATGGAACCTTCTCCAAAATAGATCATATCCTAGGGCACAAAGCAAGCCTCAGCAAATATAAGAAAATAGAAATAATACCGTGCATACTATCTGACCACAATGCAGTAAAAGTAGAACTCAACAACAAAAGTAAAGACAAAAAACATGCAAACAGCTGGAAACTAAATAACTCATTACTTAATGAAGAATGGATCATCGATGCAATAAAAGAGGAAATTAAAAAGTTCCTGGAAGTCAATGAAAATGAAAACACAACCTACCGGAACCTATGGGACACAGCTAAGGCAGTCTTGAGAGGAAAGTTTATAGCCATGAGTGCATATATTAAAAAGATTGAAAGATCCCAAATCAATGACCTAATGATACATCTCAAACTCCTAGAAAAACAAGAACAAGCAAATCCCAAAACAAATAGAAGGAGAGAAATAATAAAATAAGAGCTGAAATCAACGAAATAGAAACCAAAAAAACCATACAAAGAATTAATGAAACAAAAAGTTGGTTCTTTGAAAAAATAAACAAGATCGATAGACCCCTGGCAAACCTGACTAAAATGAGGAGAGAAAAAACCCAAATTAGTAGAATAGGAATGCAAAAGGGGAGATAACAACAAACACCATGGAAGTCCAGGAAATCATCAGAGACTACTTTGAGAACCTATATTCAAATAAATTTGAAAATCTTAAAGAAATGGACAGATTTCTAGATACATATGATCATCCAAAACTGAACCAAGAGGAAATTAATCACCTGAATAGACTATAACACAAAATGAAATTGAAGCAGCAATCAAGAGTCTCCCCAAAAAGAAAAGTCCAGGACCTGATGGATTCTCTGCTGAATTCTATCAGACCTTTAAAGAAGAACTGATACCAACCCTCCTTAAACTGTTCCACGAAATAGAAAGGGAAGGAAAACTGCCAAACACATTTTATGAAGCCAGTATTACACTTATCCCAAAACCAGGCAAAGACACCTCCAAAAAGGAGAACTATAGGCCAATCTCCTTAATGAACATTGATGCAAAAATCCTCAACAAAATAATGGCAAACCGAATTCAGCAACACATCAAAAAGATTATTCACCACGACCAAGTAGGCTTCATCCCAGGGATGCAGGGGTGGTTCAACATACGAAAATCAATAAACGTAATAAACCACATTAACAGAAGCAAAGACAAAAACCACTTGATCATCTCAATAGATGCAGAAAAAGCCTTTGATAAGATCCAACATCATTTCATGATAAAAGCTCTAAGAAAACTAGGAATAGAAGGAAAGTTCCTCAACATTATAAAAGCTATATATGACAAACCTACAGCCAGCATTATACTTAACGGAGAAAAATTAAAACCATTCCCTCTAAAATCAGGAACCAGACAAGGATGCCCACTATCTCCACTCCTATTCAACATAGTACTGGAATTCCTAGCCAGAGCAATTAGGCAAGAAGAAGGAATAAAAGGAATACAAATAGGTAAAGAAACTGTCAAAATATCCCTATTTGCAGACGACATGATCCTATACCTTAAAGACCCAAAAAACTCTACTCAGAAGCTTCTAGACATCATCAATAGCTATAGCAAGGTAGCAGGATATAAAATCAACATAGAAAAATCATTAGCATTTCTATACACTAACAATGAGCAAACTGAAAAAGAATATATGAAAACAATTCCATTTACAATAGCCTCAAAAAAATCAAATACCTAGGTGTAAACCTAACAAAAGATGTGAAAGACCTCTACAAGGAAAACTATACACTTCTGAAGAAAGAGATTGAGGAAGACTATAGAAAGTGGAGAGATCTCCCATGCTCATGGATTGGTAGAATCAACATAGTAAAAATGTCGATACTCCCAAAGTAATCTACATGTTTAATGCAATTCCCATCAAAATTCCAATGACATTCATTAAAGAGATTGAAAAATCTACTGTTAAATTTATATGGAAACACAAGAGGCCACGAATAGCCAAGGCAATACTCAGTCAAAAGAACAATGCAGGAGGTATCACAATACCTGACTTCAAACTATATTACAAAGCAATAACAATAAAAACAGCATGGTACTGGCACAAAAACAGACATGAAGACCAGTGGAACAGAATAGAGGATCCAGATATGAAGCCACACAACTATAAGCAACTTATCTTTGACAAAGGAGCTAAAAATATACGATGGAGAAATAGCAGCCTCTTCAACAAAAACTGCTGGGAAAACTGGTTAGCAGTCTGCAAAAAACTGAAACTAGATCCATGTATATCACCCTATACCAAGATTAACTCAAAATGGATCAAGGATCTTAATATCAGACCCAAACTCTTAAGTTGATACAAGAAAGAGTAGGAAATACTCTGGAGTTAGTAGGTATAGGTAAGAACTTTCTCAATGAAACCCCAGCAGCACAGCAACTAAGAGATAGCATAGATAAATGGGACCTCATAAAACTAAAAAGCTTCTGTTCATCAAAAGAAATGGTCTCTAAACTGAAGAGAACACCCACAGAGTGGGAGAAAATATTTGCCAACTATACATCAGACAAAGGACTGATAACCAGAATATACAGGGAACTTAAAAAACTAAATTCTCCCAAAACTAATGAACCAATAAAGAAATGGGCATGTGAACTAAACAGAACTTTCTCAAAAGAAGAAATTCAAATGGCCAGAAAACACATGAAAAAATGCTCACCATCTCTAGCAATAAAGGAAATGCAAATTAAAACCACACTAAGATTCCACCTCACCCCTGTTAGAATAGCCATCATCAGCAACACCACCAACAACAGGTGTTGGCGAGGATGCGGGGAAAAAGGAACCCTCTTACACTGTTGGTGGGAATGTAGACTAGTACAACCACTCTGGAAAAAAATTTGGAGGCTACTTAAAAAACTGGACATCGATCTACCATTTGATCCAGCAATACCACTCTTGGAGATATACCCAAAAGACTGTTACTCCAGAGGCACCTGCACACCCATGTTTATTGCGGCACTATTCACAATAGCCAAGTTATGGAAACAGCCAAGATGCCCCACCACTGACGAATGGATTAAGAAAATGTGGTACCTATACACAATGGAATTTTATGCAGCCATGAAGAAGAACGAAATGTTATCATTCGCTGGTAAATGGATGGAATTGGAGAACATCATTCTGAGCGAGGTTAGCCTGGCCAAAAACCAAAAATTGTATGTTCTCCCTCATATGTGGACATTAGATCAAGGGCAAACACAACAAGGGGATTGGACTATGAGCACATGATAAAAGCGAGAGCACACAAGGGAGAGATGAGGATAGGTAAGACACCTAAAAAACTAGCTAGCATTTGTTGCCCTTAACACAGAGAAACTAAAGCAGATACCTTAAAGCAATCTTCTTGGATTTTTCCCTGTCCAAGTATGTTTCTATTTTCTATACTTATCAACTAAGCCATTTTAATAAATCAATTAAGCAATATCTAGCTGCTTTCCGTATTCCAAAACATGTTAATTTTTGTCATCTCTTCTTGCATTATCTTCATAGTTTTATCCCATTTTAGTCCTTTACCATCATTTTAGTTAACTTTAAGGAGGAAGCAGAAATAAAGGTATGCATTCATCTCAATATATTTCACCATTAATCTAGTTCTTACATTTTAGTCAAACCAGAATACCAACTATTATGTCCTTCTAACTCCAAATACTCCCGTCTTCTCAAAATCCAAAGGTCTCCCAAAAACCATATCTTCCAATACTCAATTCAAATGCTAGCTACACATAATATCCTTTCTAATCTCCCAAGTGTAAATAATTTATCTGTCTTCTGCTAATTTTCACAGCATATTACTTGTATTTCTTCTGGCATTTAATCAGACCATATGTGCTAAATTTTAATGACTAATGCTCAAAAATCTCTCCCACTGCTCAAAGTTATTCATGTCACGAAAACACTTTCAATTCTATTAACCAGTGATTTATTTATTAAAATAAGTTAACTTGGAAAACACAAATACTCTGACCAGCAAGATGGCAGAATAGGAGGGTGGTCACTCATATCCCTAAAATAATACAAATTCTGTACCCATCCAAAACAAAATTTCTCTCTTTTGGAGCCTTAGGATTCAGTTAGGACCCTGTAAATCCAGAGAAGCCCAAAACATATGGAATACAAACCAGCACCCACATGGCAGACCTGCCCATCCAGGTTCCTGGATTCAAACCAGGAAACAATGCTGTTCTTTTTTTTTTTTTCATTTTTCTTTTATTATTCATATGTGTATACAAGGCTTGGTTCATTTCTCCCCCCTGCCCCCACCCCCTCCCTTACTACTCCACCCCCTCCCTCTCATCCCCCCTCAAGAAAGGACTTACCACAGGGAACTGGAGACTGCCAAGATGCTAACTCATCTTCTTGTAGCTTTCCTAGACAGAGAGCATCCATCTACTTCAGTTTTACATAGGTCTGTGCTGGCAACCTTTATTGAGTTACTGAATGGATCTTAGAGAATGTTTTGTTGCTAATAAAGAGAGTATTACCAATGTGCCTATTTTCTAACACCAAACTGCTTTCTTTCACCATTTTTTTAAAAGAATTTTTACTGCAAAAAATGACACATCTGTGTGTGTGTGTGTGTTGCTGAGAATCAAACCCAGGGCTTCATCATTCTTAGGCAAGTACTCTGCCATTGAGCCACAACACTACCCCCATGAGTTTGACACCAGCCTGGGCAACACAGTGAGACCCCACCTCAAAAATGAAAACAAATGTCATCCTTATATATATTTTTAAAGTACATAGCAGAGTGTATGTGCTATGAACATGACTTAGAAATCTCCATTTTTCTTCATAATTTGAATTATCTAAGTAGAAAGGGATATTTATTTTTGTGGAGGGACAGTTTTTATTACAAGACCAGTTTGATAATTTATTAATAATATTCCTAGGCTAAATAAGATGCTAACACTGAAACTGTTGCCTTTGAGCTTAAGTATTATTGTACTTGCCTTTTGGGCTATACTCATGTCATGTTCTTATCTTGGTATCCTAAGATTATATCCTTAAAAGGATTAGGTGGTTCCGTTTTATAAACTTTTTTTGTAGTACTTGGATTTGAACTCAGGCCCTGCACCTTGAGCCACTCCACCAACCCTTTTATTGATAGGTTTTTTTGAGATAGGATCTTGCGAACTGTTTACCAGGCTGGCTTTGAACTGTGATCCTCCTGATCCCTGCTTCCTGAGTAGCTGGGATTTAGTCATGAGCCACCTCAGCCTGGCTTATAACCCCTTTTTTTTTTAAGTGTACCAGTTACTCTTGAATTGCTAAAAAATTTTTTCAGCCTGATACATTTTATCAGCCTGAATTTTATTTTAACCCATCAGTGTTTTGTCTGAACTCCTTGTTTTAACTTCAGTTTACTTTAAAGTGGTTATTTTTATAGCACAGTGTGGTCTTTTCACTTGACATTTTCTCTTTGATAATTCTTCATGTAGTTAAGATTTAACGAGTATGGTGATGTCTGATACTTTCTTTAAAATAATCCAACAAAACAAGCAAATATGTTGGAGCATTCACAAAATAAGATTGGCAAAATAATATAATTATTGAAACCCAATAATACAGTAGAGTAACATTCTCTCTTTTCTTTATGACCTTTTAATAATAAAATGGTTACAAAAAAAAAAAGACATGTTTGGAGACCTTCATTAAAAAAAATCAGTGCAGCAAATAGTAAGATGATCAAGTTTGATGATATTCCAGATAAAATATGTATCTTTTATATATTCTTTGTACATCAATGATGTACTGGAGAAATGTTGTAAGAATAGTAAATTGAACACTCTTTCACTCATAACCTTATAAAAATTTTGTTACATTTGTGTTATAACTCCCTATAGACATCCTTACTGATTTTTTAATCTCTGTCAATTATTGAGAAAAGGATATACAAATATTTGACTATGCAGATTTTTCATTTATCTCATTTTTATGAACTTTTGCTATGTTTAAAAATACTTAGGCTACATTAGGTATGTTAGTTTACTCTGATAGCAGTAAACAAATTACAAATTTGGTGGCTTAAAGTAAGAATTTATTCTTTTTTTTTTTCTTCTTCCTTATCCCATGTCTCATCATTCACAATTCAGACCAGGCACAGGGCCTAGTCTGAGGTGTATATGGGGTAGATTTACTTTGCCTCCTTTTTCTATACAGTGAATGCAAAAACACAGCCTGTGGTAAGTACCAGGAGGCAAAAAATTTATTCTTTAGTAATTTTGGAGGTTAGAAATTTGAATTTAGTTTTAAAGGACTATAGTCTAGGTGGCAGAAGTGCAGTTTCCTTTTGGTAGATCTAGGGCCGAATTCATTTCTTTTAATTTTCCATCTTCTGGAGATTGGCTCATGGTCCTAGATATAACAGCAAAAGGATAAGTGACAAAAGAAAAATAATAAATTGTGTTTCATTAAAATTAAAAACATACATCAGAGGACACCATCATCCAAGTGAAAAGACAACCCACAGAATGCACAGATTTTTGCTACTGGCTTTGTAGAATGAGTTTAGCAGTGTTCTTTCCCCTTCTATTTCATGGAAAAGATAGAGTATTGGTTTTAATTTTTCTTTAAAGGTCTGGTAGAAGTGAATCCGTCGGGTCCTAGAGCTTTTTTGGGGGGTGGGGGGAGACTCTTCATTGCTGCTTCGATTTCATTGAGTGTTATAGATCTGTTTAGGTGATTAATATCCTCTTTATTCAGTTTTGGATGGTCATATGTATCTAAAAATTTGTTCATTTCGTCTAGATTTTCCAATCTATTTGAATACAGATTTTCAAAGTCCCTGATGATTCCCTGGATTTCCTTGGAATCTCCCCTTTCTCATTTCTAATTTTATTAATTTGGGTATTTTCCCTCCTCATTTTAGTCAGATTTGCCAGGGGCTTGTCGATCTTATTTATATTTTCAAAGAACCAGCATTTTGTTTCTTTGATTCTTTGTTTTTTTGTTTGCTTGGTTGGTTGGTTTTTTGGTCGCTATTTTGTTGATTTTGGCCCTTTTATTTTTATTATTTCTCTCCTTCTGCTAGTTTTGGGTTTAGCTTGTTCTTGTTTTTCTAGGAGTTTGAGATGCAGCATTAGGTCATTTATTTGAGATCTTTCTGTGTTTTTAATATATGCACTCATGGCTATAAACTTTCCCCTTAGGACGGCCTTTGCTGTGTCCCACAGGTTCTGCTAGGTTGTGTTTTCCTGCTCATTAACTGCTAGGAATTTTTTGATATCTTCCCATATTTCTTCAATGATCCACTCATTGTAGAGTAACCAGAATCTAGAAGAAATGGACACATTTCTAGATACATATGACCATTCAAAATTGAACCAAGAGGATATTAATCACCTAAACAGATTTATAACACTCCAGGAAATTGAAACGTCAATAAAGAGTCTCCCCCCAAAAAAAGTCCAGGGCCAGAAAGATTCACTACTGAACTTTATCAGACTTTTAAAGAAGAACTAATACAACATTCCTCAAACTTTTCCACGAAAATAGAAAGGGAACACTGCCAAACTCACTCTATGAAGCCAGCATTATACTCATCCCAAAACCGGATAAGGAGACAACAACAGAAAAGAGAATTACAGGCCGATCTCTTTAATAAACATAGATGTAAAAATGCTCAATAAAATATTGGCAAACTGAGTTGAACAGCATATCAAAAAGATCACATACCATGATCAAGTTGATTTCATCCCAGGGATGCAAGAATGTTTTAGCATATGCAAATGTAATACAGTAAATGTAATACAGTATATTAAGAGAAGCAAAGACAAAAACCACATGATCATCAACAGATGCACAAAAAGCCTTTGATAAAATTCAACATCCCTTCATGATAAAAGATCTGATGAAACTGGGAATAGATGGAATGTACCTCAACATAACAAAGGCCATATGTGAGAAGCCTAACGCCAATATCATACTAAATGGGAAAAATTGAAAACGTTTCCTCTAAAGTCAGGAAGGAGACAGGGTATCCACTTTCTCCACTCCTATTCAACACAGTATTAGAATTCCTAGCCCAAGCACTAAGACGGATAAAAGAAATGAAAGGAATACAAATTGGAAAGGAAGTAGTCAAACTTTCCCTAATCGCAGATGACATAATGTTCTCCTTAAAGACCAAAAAACTCCACCAAAAACTCCTAGACACCATAAACAGCTTCAGCAAAGTAGCAGGATACAAAATAAACTAACAAAAATCAGTAGCCTTTTTATACACCAACAATGAACAGATTGAGAAAGAATACAGGAAAACAATTCCATTTATAATAGCCTCAAAAAAATTAAAATACCTATGAATAAACTTAACAAAGGCTGTAAAAGACCTCTGGAAGGAAAACTATAAACCATTGAAGAAAGAAATTGAAAACTACAGCAGATAGAAAGATCTCCTGTGCTCATGGATTGGTAGAATCAACATAGTAAAAATGGCTATATTACCAAAAACAATCTATGTGTTCAATGCTATCCCCATCAAAATTCCAATGACATTCACCACAGAGACTGAAAAATAAACTCTAAAGTTTATTTGGAAGGACAAAAGATCACGAATAGCCAAGACAATACTGAGCAAAAAGAGCAATGCTGGAGGTATGACTATAAAGACTTCAAACTATACTAGAGAGGCATAGGGAAAAAACAACATGGTACTGGCACAAAAGCAGATATTAGGATCAGTGGAACAGAATAGAAGACCCAGATACAGATCCACACAGCTATGCCCACCAGATTTTTGACAAAGGCACCAAAAACATACAATGGAGGAAAGACAGCCTCTTCAACAAATGTTGCTGAGAAAACTGGATATCTGCATGCAGAAAACTAAAACTAGATCCATGTCTTTCACAGCACGGAGTCTCCTCAAAAAAACTAAAAATAGAACTGCCATATGATCCAGCAATTGCACTCTTAGGGATATACCCAAAGGAATGTAAGTCAGGTTACAACAAAGGCACCTGCACACCCACATTTACTGCAGTTTTATTCACAATAGCTAAGCTATGGAAACAGCTAAGATACCCCACTACTGATGAATGCATTAAGAAAATCTGGTATTTATATACAATGGAATTCTATTCAGCCACAAAGAATGAACTTTTGTCGTTTGTAGGTAAATAGATGGAACAGAACGACACCATCTGAAGTGAAATTAGCCAGGTTCAGAAAGCAAAAAGCCGATAGACCTTATACAAATGCAGAAATATTATGAAAAATAGGACAGACCAAGGGGAGATCACACACCAGAGGGGGAGGGTAAAAGAAGAAAGTTAAGGTGAATACGGCTGATGTACTCCATACAAGAATGAATACAGAATTTTTGAACTGGTTCAAACAATCATCATAAAGGGACTAAAGTAGAAAA